AATAAACCTTTTCGAGATCCTTAATTATTCGCTGTACAGAAGCCCTCGAGCCTATGGGAATGCGATCTTTAATTTGCTTTTCCACATTTTTCACTTCACGCGCCATTTGGGCTTGCGAAATGCCCTCCACTATCAGATAGATAAATTGTTAATATCTTTGAAAGAAATAATAAAGAATGATGACAGATGCAATTCACCTTCGCCTGATTGCAAAGCGTCCATAGTTGATTTTTTGAACAAACGTATAGCCTCGTCCACATGTTGTTCTGTTACTCGTGGCGACAACGTCATTTTGGCTAAAGATTCAGAAATGCGAACAATAGCCTCCAATTGCCTAATTAGAATAATTAAACGTTAATAAAGTAATTTCGAAAATTAAAAAAATACTAGTGTCAAAACAAGACCTAATTGTGATAGGGATGGTTGATCTCGTTCCGGTGTCTTCTTCAATTCTTCTCACTTCAGATCGAATAGAAACAAAATGGCTGCTTAATTTTTCTGCGGCTTCTGCGGATAATCTTGGAGCGCATTTTCTATAATTAAAAAAAAAATAATGTTAAATTAAAAATACTATAAAAATACATTTGATAACAATTTTACGGGATCTTACAGTCGGGCGTAACCTAAATATTTTTTCATCGTTGCGATATCAATTTCGCCTGCTGCGGGTTCCGGGGGAGCACGGTGCATGTGAATTGTTAGCACATGACGAGCGATATCCTAAATACACAATGATAACATAAAATAAGTCGAGGGAGTATATTTTATAAAGTTAATATACGAAAATGTTACCCGGTCTCGCAGGTCATTATGTTCGTCTCTCACGATGAAAATCATATCAAATCTTGACAGTATCGTAGTTTGAAAGTCTATATTCTAAAATTAAGCAAACAATAGACATTCAGAATAATCAATCGTATCATCAACCGTCAAGATCATCGATTATACCTCTCCTGGTGTTTTCAAATCGTCATAACGACCAAATATTGGATTGGCGGCAGCCAATACTGAGGTACGTGAATTTAAAATAGTAGTTATTCCGGCCTTGGCAATAGAAATGGTTTGTTGCTCCATTGCTTCGTGAATAGCAACTCGATCTTCGTCCCGCATTTTATCAAATTCGTCTATACATATCACCCCACCATCTGCCAA